ACACACACACACACACACAGACACATACTCATACACACATACACTCGCTCACACAAACACACACACCCACACACACACACAAACACAAACACACACACACACACACACACACACACACATACACTCACTCACACAAACACATACACATACATGCTAATACCTTTACTTATGCACAAGCATGCACATTCACAAGCACACAAATAAACAAGCAAAAACATAATTACGTGTTCCAGAACCAGCATTATTTGGATCCACAAGAACACCCGAAGACCCCACACACACAAATAACATGCCGCATGTGTAGTTAGTCTTAGTTTTAGTAGAGGTTTTACAGCGCTCGCAACTGCATAAGGTCATATGAGCGCCAGAAGATTAGAGGTGTCACAAGCGAGTAACAAACATAAAAAAGAAGAAGGGAGATAAGGACGATAGATGTTTGATAGGGAAGAAGGAGCAAACCACACCAGAGCACCCGCCATCCACCCACTGCCGTATGTGTACTCACATGATTTCTCCCTGGTGGTCAGATTGTCCCCTCAACCTTGACCCTTTGGGCCTCTGGAGAGAAACACAAACAAAAACAAAACATAAAGTTCATTGCTCCTAACAAACAGACACTTCCCACGCCTACACTGTTCTAACAGATTAATTAACACCTCAAGGAGGGCCAATGTTCCTTCACACTTGCAAAGTGGCCTCTGAAACTTGCTCTTGCTTGGTGTAGTTCTTGTCCTTCACATCTTAGTTTTGCTGTTTCGTTCATCCCTTTTTTTACCTGCCTTTTATTTGTTTTTATTTGGGGTTGTTGTTTTTTTAAAAAGGGGGGGGGGGGGGGTGGCTGTACATTTACATTGTACATATGCTAGTCATTAAGTTCGAAAGGACCAACAAGGGATTTCATTTTCTGAACAAATCCATAATGGTCGTGCAATCTTTACGGTGTTCTGAACATGACTTCCATTAATGGCTTAGATCCTCCTGCCTGGTTTCGCAGGCACCATCTCAGTTCTATCTGTGTGCTGTGTGGGTCATCTCAGTTCTATCTGTGTGCTGTGTGGGTCATCTCAATTCTATCTGTGTGCTGTGTGGGTCATCTAGGTGTAGATTTATCTATGGTGTTTGGAAGGGCATCTGTGCAGCACGGTTGGGATAATGTTAGATTACAGTGCATCTGACCATGGTTCCATATCGAATGGTTTATTTTTAATCTTTGATTCTTCGTGGCTTTTCAAACCTTTGTACTGATTTGATTTTGATTTAGTCCTTTCAGAGACAGACATGAAATTCCCAGAGTTTATCTCTGAACTAGTCTTACTTTAAGTTAATGTGTTAGCAAACACCTACCTTGGAGAGTTTATTAACCAGAGAGTCGATCTCTAAACTAATCTTAGAGTGTTTGTCAAGATGTTAAAACCCCTACCACACGCCACCACTGAGTCCAACCTTGGAGAGTTTGTTGTCCGGACAGCCAGCCTCTGAACTAATCTTAAATTGTTTGCAAAAATGTTTAAACCCCTACTACCCCCCCCCCCCCCCCCGCACCATCCAGCCGTACCTTGGAGAGTTTGTTGTTGAGGATAATCATCCTGGTGCTGCTGTTTCGTACATCGTACACCGTGGACACCGGGCTGCTCTTGGGCCATGGACGTCCATTGAACGGGGCTCTGGAAGTAGGTCAGGGGAAAGTGAGTATTTTATTTCTGGAAGTAGGTCAGGGGAAGGTGAGTGTTTTACTTCTCTGGAAGTAAGTGAATGAAAAGTTCATGTTTTACTTCTCTGGACATAAGACGTTGTTTAACACCTCCGACTATACCACAGTTCAAATAATTGAAGGAGCTGGCTTCTATAGAGCCCTGAATGTTTGACACAAACCAGGCTTAGAGAGATACATCATCCCCGCAGACATACTTGAACTCTCTAAAATCAGTAAATTATGCCTCCATTTGCGTGCCAGGGTGAAGACCTCAACAATTACACTACAACTACAAAAGCTCATGACCACTTTGAAAGCAAACATTTCAACTGAGTTAAAGAAGTCCTGGAAAAATGCATAGACACAGAAGCCGAGATTTTTGCTTTTTGTAGGGTTGTTGTTTTTGTGTGTGTTTTTTTTTTTGGGGGGGGGGGGTGAGGGAGCTTCTTTTTGGGTTGTTGTTTTTTTCCGTTTTGTTTTGTTTTTTGTTTCTTGTTTTGTTTTGTTGGGGGGTTTTGTTTCTTGGTTCGGGGATGAGGGTGGTGGTGGTGTAATAGATTAAAAGAGGAATAACAAATAGGCGAGAAATAAGAACAAGTACCGGTACCTAACAGGTTTTTTTAAAGCCATGCCAGATACAAATATATGACATTCCACAGGTGGGCCCCAAAACGTTTAGTCAAAGCAAGTCCTCGTTGACAGATCATGAGCATAACAAAGGGCAGGACGGAAGAGTTCATGAGGACAAACAAAGAACAAACTAATACATGTAGCACGGGACGCGATTTGAACATTCACACCCAGCAGCTTTTTGGTCTCAGAAACAACTAGTTTAAAATTACTCAGAGAGAGAGAGAGAGAGAGAGAGAGAGAGAGAGAGAGAGAGAGAGAGAGAGAGAGAGAGAGAGAGAGAGAGAGAGAGAGAGAGAGAGAGAGAGAGAGAGAGAGAGAGAAGAGTGAGAGAGAGAGAGAGAGAGAGAGAGAGAGAGAGAGAGAGAGAGAGAGAGAGAGAGAGAGAGAGATCTTCAGGCCAACAAATCCTTTAAATCGTCCAGCCATTTTCTTGTCCCCGCAGCGCCATAGAAGTCGTCTGCGACACACAACTCGGTGATAGTTCGGTGGTGTCAGCCGCAAACGTTCTGTTTCAATCACAGCCGATTACAACAACTGGCGCGAATAGAGCAGTGAGTGTTTGGCTGGTGAGGCCTTAGAGACATGAAAGAGACGCGGAATTGACCGCTGTCCAGCACAGCGCCTGTGTGTAGCGTTAATCCACGCGTGACAAAGTCCCAACAATACTGTCCACGGCCAACATACGCAACTAAACCTCTTACAAATGGGCACCGCAGGGCGAGGTGGGGGTGGGGGGCGGGGGCGGGTGCCATACTTGTATTTGTACGACTGCCGCGTTGTGCTTCCTCAGACGTACAAAGTTCTATCTGATCAGTAGCCTAAATAGTTTTGACAGATTTGACGTACAAAATGATGAGTTTCACAAGCTTTTTCGAAAGCAAAACGCAATTCTTTGAATACACGTGTATCTTGATGACGACTCTGAATTATCTTACAATTTTGATAGAGCAGATAGAACATTTGGTTTCTGATATCATGGTCTGGAGTAACTCAAAACGGCCAACAGGGTCAGATAGAACTTTGTAGTTCTAACAAAGGTAGCGACGATCTGTCGTTGTAAACTGGTCGACTGGACTCAGAGGGTCACTCACGAGCTGGTCTACAGACTCTTGTCTGCGGAACTGGTCACTCGTGGGATCTACCCCGGAGGTATGACTCACTCCCGGAGTCCACTTGAGGTACTACTTCACTAGGCTATAGCTGCGTAGTTAGACACGCGGATGGCAGTTCCATTAAAATTTGCTGTCGGTCAATCGCAAGACTGGGACTCAGAGGGTCACTCACGGCCTGGTCTAAAGACTCGTCTGCGGAACTGGCCACCCGCGGGATCTACCCCGGAGTAATGACTCACTCCCGGAGCCCACTTCACATGACACTTTGCTTTACTAGGCTACAGCTGCGCAGTTAGACACGCGGATGTCAGTTCCATTTGTTGTCGGTCAGTCGCAAGACTGGGAAGTTGGGTTGGGGGGGGGGGGTATTTTCAAATAAAGATAAATATAGCATTGATTCAGCGCTCTGTCCCGTTAGCGAACAAGCTCTGGCTAGCCTAACTAAATCCATATTTTTTTTAAAGAGACATGATCAACTCCACACGACACAGAGTAAGGACAGGGAATTCCCTGCACGTCAAGCAAAAATGCAGAACATCATAAACGTACGCTATAGCGCGGCCGCAAATCCGGGGCGCAACGTATTGTCAAATACCTCCTTAACTATCATAAAGATAAACTCCCCAACTTTTGCACAGTGACTTTGATCAGTTTGTCTTAACAGATCAGTATTTTTGTAAAGACCTGTTAGCTGTATTCTAAACAATTCTTTAACAAATATTTTTTTAAAATCCTAGTGGGGGGGGGGGGGGGGTATATACTGATTGATTTACAGCTGGGACGACATCGATTTTAAGAGCAAGTCCGTCATTCTTTTTCTAATCGCGAGATTATCTTTATTGAACGCATGTTTTGAGAATTTGTGAACTTTAAGTGCAAAAAATGTTCACAATAAAATCAATTTCTTGTAACTAGTTTTGCCACTAAAAGTGTCATTGGTGAGCTGTGACGTAACCCATACGCGTATACAAAATGTGTGAGAGAAGTGGGAAGTGCTGTGAACAATTCCATTTTCCGCGTGAAGGAGTTTTGTCGTATTTTATATACATTGGAGAAGAAAAGTTTTTTAATGTAGCCTCAGTTGTTGTGGAAAAATATGATTAAGTTAAAACAAATGGAGACAAACAGCTGTGCAAAGTATGGATGACATTGATTCACCTGTTGAAAAGATATTTGAGGATAAGTTGCGCCACGAATTTTTGACCGCATTATAGGTACATACATGTCAATGTATTATTTTTCTTCGATTTGTGGTTTGTTAATTTTGTCCTGTTGTGTTCTCATGCATGTCTTTTTAGTTCATTTGTTTGATTTGTGTGTGTGTGTGTGGGGGGGGGGGTTGTTTATATTTGGGGTGGGGTGGGTGATGTTGTGGGTTTTGTATGTATGGTGGCGCTATGGTGGTTGCTGAAGGGTTCATTCTTGTCACGTTTTCTTCCACCAAATGTCAGTGTACTTTGAGCACACCTTCTGTAGCATCCCTTACCCTGACACGCGACATCAAACAGAGACTGTTTTCTGTTTTTACACCTAACCAGAGGGAAAGGGGGGGGGGGGGGGCTTTGATTTCTCCAGGCTAAAGTCGAACCTTTCACAGAAGGTAACAGCCTACTGTCCAGTACAAAAGTGGTAATCTTAGGTAGGTGGTCCTTTAGGACAGTGTCATTATATAGACAAAAAATAAACCTATTTTTAAAAACGCAACAGGGTAAGCGGGAAGAGGCCGGTCCATTTGTGCATGTGAATGTCTTGGACATAGTATGGTCGTTAGAGGTATTTTCGGCTGTTTAATACGTACCGTTTTTGTGGGTTTTTTCTTTAATTTTAGTAAGTTTTTACCGCGCTCGCAACTGCGTAAGGTCATATGAGCACCAAGGGGTGGATGTCAACAGAGAAGTCCTTACAGGGAATCAGACTTACTCTGCTCACCTCTCTAGCCTCTACAACACAAAATCTGCTTCGGCTATCAAGGCATCCCGGAAATAGCGGGTCACAAGAGAGTGACAAACATACAAAAGAAGTAGAAGAAAAAATATGATAGTAAGAATGGGGAAAGAAAAAGCAGCAGTTCCGCCTATGTTGTTCCGGCACAGTATGAGCATGGCCTTGATAAATCAGCCCATTTACAATTCTACTGTGCATAAGAAAATGTTAATATCCCCCCTTTGGGAATGGTCTAAAGACACTTCAGAAAGTAGCACCGCCCAGGTGGGTCAACCAACAGTTTATCTGCCAAATGAATGAAACATACTATAACTATGGGACAAATGTATAACCGCCCTCGTGCGTGCTCGTAGATTACCATAAGTGTCAGGCTCTCGGGGCATTCACGAGAGTCACGTGATCTGCGCCTATATCTGAATCTGTCCCCGTCGTTTTATGCAAGAAAAATTCTGAAATTATACAAACTGAGCCCAAAAATGTGAAATGATGCGATTCTGTTAATTTTAACAAAGAATGATAAAGGAAAGTAATCGGAAATAATGCACAAAAAAGATCAAATTTTGGTAAATTATGCGGGGTGCATTAAACCACGGGGACAGCTATATAGGTGTACTGCTTCCCCAGTCATGGGCGTTCGTTCACAGCGATAACCTTATCTTTGGCCGAGTCCCTTGCCTGGCCTATATGTGAGGCAGCGTGGTGGAATCAGGCTCTCGTCAATTTTTGGGCATGTAGACTAGAGTTATAGGTATCATCTTAAAGCGTGTTCACGTGTCTTTATTTGGATGAAAAAAATATCAATTTATATTGAGATAATTGCGAATGAAGGAGATGGGGGTCACCTGTTTTCAGAGGTAAAATAAGTGAGAAAATGGCCCCCAAAGATTAGTTATTTCCTTAGCTTAAGAGTCCGTGGTAACTGAAAATTTGCTTTTTTTTTGCGCTTTAATCAACGTTTAAAAAAAAAAAATCCACATAGAAATGAGTTCTTTAATGGGCATGAAAGGTGTTGAGCCATAAAACAAAAATTTGATAAAAATTCACAAACATGCGGAAAAATGCAAGTTTCTTCACTTTGATTATTTTGACGAGAGCCTGATTCCACCACGCTGCCTCACACATAGTTTGTACCTACATCAAGAACATAGGAACCTGTATAATAAAATCTCCTTGGTCTACAAGCAATACAATATACACCTCAGACTTGCAGTCTTTATCTCTGAGTCCCGCAAAGTGACAGATTTATCGTAGTATAGTACAACCGACGTGTGTACAAAATGTCTCAGGGCTTATCACAGGTCAGAAACGGGTCCCTTTTTTATTCTCTTTTGTGCACAATTTGGGAGATTGTTTCTCGATACAGTTTCTGACTTGCAACGGACGTCTTGAGTAAAACCAGAGACCGGGTATAACAAGATAGCTCACTCCTCTCTTTGAGCCAATTAAAAAAGTGTCCTCAAAATTCGGTGGCGCCCTCTTCGAGAAAGTGCGGACTTTGCGAACAGTTACCCTACTTGTGTGAAAAAAAATAAAAGGGAAAC